GCGCCGAGAAAGTGCCACGCCCGCCGCGCTTTGCGACGCCGAGGCGGATAGCGATCGCACCCCCAGCGCACGCCCTGTGGCATGGAGAAAGTGCCACGCCTGCCACACGTTGTGAGCCCGAAACGCATAGCGACAGCACCCCCAGCGCACCCCCTGTGGCGTCGAGGAAGTGTCACGCTTGCCACGCTTTGCGAAGCCGAGACGGATAGCGACCGCACCCCCAGCGCACCCCGTGCGGCGTCGAGAAACTGCCACGGCTGCCACGATTTCCGTGACCGAAACGGATAGAGACCGCACCCCCAGCGCACCCCCTCTGGCATGGAGAAAGTGCCACGCTTGCGGGTCCGAAGCGCATAGCGACCGCACCCCCAGCGCACACCCTGTGGCGCCGAGGAAGTACCAGCCACGCTTTGCGTGGCCGAAACGGATAGCGACCGCACCCCCCGCGCACCCCTTGTGGCGTCGAGAAAGTGCCACGTTTGTTACGCCCTGCGATGTTGGCGCGTCTAGGGGCCGCGCTGAGGGACCACCCCCTGCGCACCCCCTCCCCGGTGTCGAGAAAATGCCACGCTTGCTAGGCGTTGCGACATTGTCGCGTATGGAAACCGCGGTGAGGGACCACCCCCGGCGCACCGCCTCTGGCGCCGAGAAGGCTCGCATAGAGACCGCGCTGAGGGACCACCCCTGCACACCCCCGTCTGGTGTCGAGAAAGTGCCACATCTGCTAGGCCCTGCGACATTGGCGCGTATAGGGACCGCGCTGAGGGACCATCCCCTGCGCACCCTCTCTGGTGTCGAGAAAGCAGCTGAGCTTTGTTGTGCTGAGCTGAGCGTTGTTGAGCGGTGCTGTGCTGTGATGTGTTGTGTACGTGCTGTGTGTCAATGTGTTGTGTGCTGCGTGCTGTGCTGAGCTGTGCTGAGCTGTGCTGTGCTGTGCTGCGCTGCGCTGTGCTGCGCTGCGCTGTGCGGCGCTGTGTTGCGTGAGGAGGAGAAGGAGGGGTGAGGAGGAGACGCGGGTGCGACGCAGGAAGGAAGGAACCCATAACCCCACTAAGCATGTGGGGAAACACATGACGAACATAATAACCTGCTTGGATGTTTCTTGCGAGTTTTTGCAGGCCTCTTGGAACGTCTTGGGGCATCTTGGGTGCCTCGGGAGTCCGCTTGAAGTCTCTTGGGGGCCTCCTGGGGGTCTCTTGGGAGCCTCTTGGAGGCCTCTTGGGTCCGTCTGGGCGCCTCTTGGGGCCCTGTCGGGACGCTCTCGTGAGTTTTAGGGGCACTCTTGGCGCTATCTTGGAGGAGATCGATCAAAGAAGGGGGGGTTCTTAATTAGCGCTGCCCTTCCAGAGCGCCCAACATCGCCTCCAGAACCCCTCTTGGGGCGCTCTTGGGGCCGTATTGGGCCTCTTCGGAGCCCCTCTTGGGGCCCTCTTGGGCCATTTTGGAGCCATCTTTAGGCCTCGGATGGCCATCGGAAGCGAAAAGGCGAGACGGCAAACATCATTGATTTCCTTTAGGCTAAGGATGGTGGCTTCTTGGAAGCCTCATTGAGAGTCTCGGATGTCTCTTGGAGCCGTCTTGGAGCGTTCCTGGGGCCTCTCGGAGTATCTTGAGAGCCATCTTGACGCAGCTTGCGCTATCTTGAGCCATCTTGGAGGTCATCTTGGCCTGTCCGAGGCCCTCTTGGAGCCATCTCGGGCCATCTGAGATGCTTCAACCCCTCGCGACCACCCCCGTCCAGGTCCAGGGGAGGGAGTCGGGGGAGGGGTAAACCTCTCCCCGAAGGGGGAGAGGGGGGTTGGAAGAGGAAACTCCCTAAACCACCTACGCCCAGAGGGCTGGTGGGATTTCATTATCGATCTTGCAATCGATCTCACTATTGGGTTCACAATCGATATCATAATCGATCTCACTATCCCTTTCTGTCGATATCATCATCGATCCCACTGTGGACCCCAAGGTCGATCTAACTATCGATCTCATTATCAGTATCATTACAGATATCATTATCGATTGTACTATCGATCTCCCTATTGATCTCATTACCGATAGCACATCGATATTTCCAGGGATCTGACAATCGATCTCATTATCGATCTTACGATCGATGTCACTATCGATCGTACAGTCGATTTCACCGTCGATCTTACTATCGACTTCACCACCTATCAAACTCTCGATCCCTCTGTCGATCTCACTATCGGACTCCCAATGCGATCTCACTATCGAACTCCCTGACTATGGATCTCACTATCGATCTCATTACGGGACACCGGCGGGGCACCGACGGGACACCGACGGAAGTCTGACGGGACACAGACGAGCCACCCCGGGACACCACGGGACGCCGCGGGACACCATCGTGGCACCATGGCGGGACACCCCTGGCACCCACCCGCCAACCAGGGGGGCGGACTTCTACCCCAGCGGCGCCCTAGCCAGATGAGGGTTCATTCCTCTCGTCCGTCCACGCAGCTTCGCCTCGCCCACGCGCTCGACACGAGCACGAAACCGAAACCGATTTCTCGGTGGGAGATTCTCCGTTCCATTGCGATCTCACCCCGTCATGTCGGATTCTTCGAAAGGAGCTACGGTCCTTTATAGTGTGCTCCCGCTGCAGCATTGGCTGGCAACATTTCAGGATCGGCATTTTGCTCCTGTTGTTCGGGATGGCGCAATCGCCCCAGCGCACACTGTGCCTCTGGATATGACCCCTTCCTTGTCGTTGGCGTTCCCTTCCTTTCCTTCTGTCCGCCTGCCCCTGGTGCTCCTGCTCTTCCTGATGCCGCGATTCCTCCATCGCCCTCTCCTCTTTCCTCAGCCTCGTCCTCCCCCTGCCCGTCCTCCTCCATCCCCTCTGCTCTTGGAGAGCTCCTCCTCGCAGCAGCCTCAGCCGTGTCAGCAGGGCGGTCTGGGCGCCTCGCCTGATGCGTCACATTTACCTGGCATCGCTCGGACGTGTGTATTTTTCCTTCGGCGAGGACCATCGAGGAGCATCCTTGATCATTTGGCGAAAAAAACACGCATCAAAACCGAACAAAAACACAGAGAATGGACGTCCGAGCGAAGGCCAGTGTATGATCCTGATGCAAAGTTGAACTTTCCGGCAGCTGCACGGCTGGAGGGAGGGCGGCTTTCCACCAGCTGCTCTCTCGCTCGTGTCGCGCATGGTCATTTCAAAAGCTTGCAGAGGTTCGCAAGATGGAGGGGTGGCGGTTCAGAACATGATTCCTCCGCCCTATCGCCGCGCAGATCTGTTTCCAATGCTTGCATTAGATGGAAGTCTTGCCATAGCGTCGGGCACATTCGTCTGGCATATTGCAATATTTAATTACTGGGTTGGAGGCCGGTTCCTGATCAAAGTAGGACTCTCGCCTGAGATTTCCTCAGTTCTAGATATTTGAAAATCGAACACATGTAACCGCTGCTCGGATGGATGGCGGCTCATCTTCAAATTGGGGTTCTTGCTTTCGACGTCCTCGAAGGTGATGACCATCAGTGTAAACTTCTGCAGCCGTTGCACAGCTCGGGGCGTGTCTTCTTCAATACGGAACTCTCGGTGGACACATATCAATACGGATGATCATACCTTGTGGCATTCCTTTTGAGTCGATCGAAGGACGCAGGGCTGCTCCTTACCTAAACGGGGCTCTCGACTGCTGGTCTTTTTGTCAAGGGGGGCTTCTTGAAGCGAAACGGAAGGGCTGTGGGGACTTCTGAGTGGGGCACTGGGGACGGGAGGGTGTATTGCAAAATCGTTGATGCATCTTGGTTTTATACCCCGGACCTCCCCTCTCTCCAACGTGCAAGGCACCCCTGTCTGCTTGCGCATCACACAATGGGGTCATTCGGGGTGTCATGATTGTCATGATCCTCTAGGACACCCCGGTTGGCGGATAGCAGCTGGTTCACAGCGATGGAAGAGGATGGGTGTGAGGGGTAGGATGCCAAAGACGGCGCGAGCGTACTGAGGCTTGCCCTCCCAGTTCTCCCTTTCCCCCCCCCTGCGGCCCCATCACCTCCTCCCCGTTCCCCTCCGTGTTTCCAGTCCCCGTCCTGTTTCTCAGCCCTCCGATGTGGTGATTTTTGTGATGACGTGGGCCGGCCCCCAGCGGTCTGGACCCATTCCCCGGGGCACGTTTTTCAGGCAAGGGCCTTCGCAGGCCGTGCAGCAAGTCCCCGCCCCGTCGTTTTGTAGGTGTCATGACCCGAGGAGGTCGGGTATTCTTGTCCGCCCTCCTGCCTGCCCCCTCCCCCCCGTGGACCAGCCGCCCCTCCCTCCCCTGCGCTCCCTCCGCTCCTCGCGTCGGGCCCTCGCTGTTTGCGTTTCACCCTTCCCTGATATCCGACGTTGCAACAAAAAGCAACACGGGAACAAATCACGACCTGATTCCTGGACGCCGTCTTTTTGCGCATTTCTTCGAGTCGCATCGATCTGTGAGGGAGCAATGGCCCGAAACAGGTCGAAAGCGCCCGTGGTGGAACAATTGAAACGCCAGGATTTCAGAGTTCCTCGGACCTGCGTCTCCAGAGGCAGGTCAATCTGCTCTTTAGGATGGCGTGTCCGACTCGTGCAAGTTGTTCTTGCATGGCGCTCCCCCCCCCCCGCGCCTCCCTCCGCCGCCTTTTCGCACAGCGCTGGGCCAAAACGGCGTGCAAGTGAGTCCCGACTGGGGTGAAGTCGGATTTGTCTTTCGGGCCTCGCCACTCTAACATGGAAGTGAACTTGCAGAAGCCTGAACAAAAGCAGCCTCTAGGAGAGCGTTCTTTCATTTCCGGGCGAGAGCGGACATCATCGGGGAAGGGGGCGGGGGGTATAGGGGGCGGGGGGCCGGTAAGGTCACGTTTCGCGCCAGCGCCGTTCGGGAATGTCTCGGAACCACCAGAGCCACTTCGGAGGCCAGCACGACTCGTGACGTTGCCTGGGGAGGGGCCCCGCCAACGGCCGCGAGCAACAGAGAACACGCTCTCCTCAGAGCCCCCCCCCGCGCCGCCGGCAGGACGTGCTGAAGCACCTGCCCGGCCCCGGCGCCCTGCCGGGGCTCGCCGGCATGCCCCCGGGGGCGCTGCACGGGCTCGCCGGCATGCCCCCCGGGGCCCTGCCGGGGTGCGCGGGGGCAGAAGCCCAGACCCGGACCCCCCCGCGTCGCTCGAGGGGAGAGGCGCGGGGACCACGGCCGAGCCGGCGCGGGATCCGTCGGCGCCGCTCTTGGTCGTGGTCCGTGCTGGCTGCGCAGATTCGCGGGGCTTGCTCACGAAGTGACGCTGACCAAGATGGACGGTGAGGAGAGTCGACGGGACATTTCCGCGCTCAGTCTCGGTCATGGTCCCCGTTGTCTGGCCTTTTTCAGTCGTGAAATGATCTCGTACGTTCTCCATTTCGGGCTTCTGGGGGCCCTTGCCGCGCCTCGGGGCCGTCAGGAAGCGGCGCAGGATGAGAACCTGGCCGGGGGGAAAGGGTCCAGGCCTATGGATGTTCCACGCCACGAGACGAATTCACGACGTCGGGGTTCTGGGCACATCGGGCGCCGCCACCTGGGGGCAGGAGTCCTACGTACGCTTCCTCTCGTGGTGGGGGGCGGTGGGTTGTCGCCTCCTGCGTTCCTTCGGGCGTTCCGACCGCGTCTTGTCCGCGTTGTGGCGCGTCACGCGTGGCGATGCTCGGCACATCATGGATCTCAAGAGGCTTTTTTTGCGGGCGTGCCCCGGGCTGCGGCACGTCCGCCACCATGGCCTCGAGGGACTCGTGTTGGAGTGTCCTCAGCGCACTTTGAGTCTTTAGACCCGAGTCCTGAACTAAGGAGTAGTTACGGGCGGCCTGGACCCCCCCAACTCAAGGGGTGTGCTGCGGGGCCCTCAGGACTGCCTAATTAGGAGAGGCAGAAGGCTTTTCGTGTTCTGGTGGTTCTTGTACTATGCTAGGCGTTCTCGCCTTCTCGGGCTTCCGACCCACACGCTTTCGGTCGCACTCGTTGGGGGACGGGCAGTGCAGTGCAGACATCGTCGGGCGCCGCCTCGGAGAACTCGGGGCGACTGGCCCTGGGGAGGGATGGGGTAGGGAGTCAGTACGATCGAAACGGGTACGGAAAGAATGGTGACGAAGACGGACAGCAGTTTCCGTCCATCTTGAAGAGGGCTCGCTGTCGGTGTCGCCGCGGACGATGTCCATTTGAGATGGAAGACCGCCTGGCCAACAGCGGCCGTTGTTGGTTTGGGACAACATCTGCTGTTGTGCATCGTACCCTTTTCCGTACCATTTCGGTCGTCCAAGGGGAGGTTTGGGGGCCCACGCGTCGAAGACAGTTGAAGCATTGGGTGCTTGGGTAGCCCCGAGAAGAGATCAGGGTCGATCAAGCCCAGCTGCACGCGCGCTTGTGCTTCCACGTGGGGGCTTTTTGGTCTCGTGCTGTCCTGGGATGTGGCAGGTGGAGTGTGGTCAGACACCGTCCTGGGAGACCTACAGTCGGCCCAGATTAGTAGGTCGGCTCTGCCAAGTCAAAGGCACGTTTATGTCCTGTGTCTCGCGACCCGTGCCTCCTGCATTCCTATGGCAATGTGGCCCTCGGAAGAGTCTTTTGTCCTCTCGCGTGTCCTGTCCGATGAAGTCCAACTGTACTGAGAGACCTAGTCGAGATTCGAAGACGAGCGCGTTTCTGATCAAGACGACAAGACACGGCATGCCGAGGCGCTGCCCGGGACGGTCCGTTGGGGCAGATCCCAAGCCGAGCCCAGACAGAACGCCTCCCTCGTTTGGTGCAGGAGGGAAAAACACACACAGACACAATTAATTGTCGACCCCCCAGAGAGAAACTATGGGAAGTGGGGGGGGAAGTGGGGGAAACTATGAACAAAAAAAACATAAGGGGAATCCTGTTATTTGTGTGTATTCATTTGTGTGTCACAGGGCCCCTTCATTGGTTTGGTTCGGGCCTCCCCCTCAGGCAGACCGGCAACATTTGGTCCTTACCCCCCCTGGGGGCCTATCGGCCTCGGCGACCCTCTCGACAGATCGTCTATATGGTAGGTTCTCCCAGGGCTGTAAGGAAGAGGTCCTCGTCGCTGCCGCCGCCGCCGCTAGCGGCGTCGGCGTCGGCGTCGTCGTCCTCGTCCTCGTCGTCGTCGTGATCGATCGTCGTGGTCGTCGGCGTCGTCCGCCTCGTCTCTGGAGGTCTCGCTGGAGCCCTCCAGATACTTCTGGAGGCTTTGCAGGAACTGGGCGGCGCGCACGAGGGGCGTGGCGCACGAGGGGGGAGGCCTTCCGTGAGGGCCAGGGGGGGCTTCTCGAGAAGCAGGGCCGCTTTGGCGCGGGCCCCGGCCCGCGCCACGCGCGGCGGCGGCGCCTCTCGAGGAACCGCCTCCCGAGCATGCCGCGGCCCGCGGCCACCCCGGGCTGCGCCCGGGGCTTGGTCGCCGCCATCGTCGTCGTCGTCGCCGCCGCCGCCGCCGTCGTCTGCGTCGTCGTCGTCGTCGTCGTCGTCGTCGTCGTCGTCGTCGTCGTCGTCGTCGTCGGCGCCGTCGTGGTCCGCTGGCCAGACGGCCAGGCTCGGGCTGCCGCCCGCGGGCCTGCCGCCCCTGGGCCTGCCGCCCTCGGCGCCGCCCCCGCGGCCGCCCGGGGGCGCGCTGCCGCAGCCGGCGCCCCAGGAGCCCCCGCGCCTCCGCGGGGGCTGTGATGCTCCAGCCTGCTGCAGGCTGTGATTCCGTTGTGAGCACCAGGTAAGGGTCCCCAAACTCGAGCCTTCAGCCTGGTCAGCCTTCAAACCAGGGGGCTGTGATGCTTCAGCCTGTTGTGAGCACCAGGAGAGTGCCCCCCGAGCTCGAGGGTTTTCTTCGCGTGTCGGGCGGGGACGCGCGGCCGACACTGCCGTGGACGCTCTTTCGGCACTCTTTTGACACTTTTCCGGGTGCCCGAAATCATTTCTGGGATGTGGCCCGGAAGTGCGATGGGAGCAACATAGCGCGTGGGGTGTCTTCGAGAAGCATTGGCGAAGCGCCGTGGTCTGCCTGCAGTCGGACCGAGGCATTCGGAGGAGGAAGAGGTGCCGATACTGATGATTGCCCTCGCCCCGTTTTCCCCTTTTTGAGCCTCCTGGGCGGTCCCCGTTGCCTCTGCTGGATGCACCTCGAAGTCCTGGCCAAGCGTGAGGGCCTTGTTTCGGGGAAGCGCAAGGCTCGACGGTGGGTGGACTAAAAGTGTCCACGCGTCTCGCCAAGAGCTTGAGTTATCTAAGCATGTCTGACGAAAATGCATACCCCCCTTCTCCAACATTCAAAGTTGACGGTCTTGGGGCAGTAGGCCAAAGGCCAGGGACAACATGTGGACACTTCAACTTTGGGTTTTGGGGGGAGTGGTGCGAAGCAAGAGCATTTCGCAATTGTGGTTCTTGTCACGTTGCATCGCCTTACCGCCATGGGTGTGGACACCTTTTGTCTGGGTTCCGTAGCTCGCCAGAACTCTAGCTTGCCTACGTTTTTCGATGGGCCCGTCCTGGGTTTTGGCGGTTCAGTTCTCGTGGGATTTACGCAGAGGGAGCTCGCGCCAAATTTCAGCCTTGGTCTCGTCATTTTCCTGACGGCCCCGTCAGGTCAACCCGAGTCCCCCGAAACCGAGTCTTACACATGTTCCCGGCTATTGTGCTTGCAGGCGTAGCTTGGTGTTCGCGCGCGTACTATGGCGATCGCAGCGCACCCCCGCCCCGACATGCCCCAACGCGCCCAAGCGTTACCGTTTCCCGGCCCCCCCCCCGCCCGCCCCCGGATAACGGTCCTTACGCGGCAATAATAAACAACAGTCTCTGAGGGATGAGGCCCCGAGGACAAGCGGCGTCGAACTTGAAGCCGGCTGGGGTGCTGAGGTGGCCCAGCACTGGTTTTGGCTAGCAGAACGGGGGGAGAAAGGGCCCTCCTCGTCGCCACGCTGGACACGGCTCGAACGACTGGTTAGTTTCGAAGCTGGGGACCGATTTCGAGCGGATTTGCCCTCAGCCCTCCTCCTTAGCCGTTTTTCTCGGGGCCTCATCTTTTAGGGCCCAACGTATGAACCGCCGAATACGGGTTGGGGGCGGTCAGGAGCGGGGTGATGATCAGGGGGCGGTGGATATCATGGCCACGGCCATGATACCTCCCCAGATGTTATGGTGCCTCTTCTTCTTATTTTATGGCCGAGTACGTCCCCTGTCCCCCCTGGGCCGCGCATGCCTCGGGCCATGATCTGCGACCCCCCCTCTTAGGCGCCCCCCAACGGGGGTGAAGGGGCGAAATGGTGCCAGAAAGACTGGAAGCGGATCGGGCCCCTCGCAGAGCCCAAGCTGCGGCCCCAGCTGGGCGCGGCCGCACGCGGGCGTTGCACTGGTCTCGCTGCACCCTCCGCACGCCTCGCGCCACATCCTCGATGGAAGAAGACGGGGTCGTCTTCACCGACACTGGCGCTTCAGCGTGCCGCGTAAGGTCGCGCGTGAGCGCCCTCGTCTCCAAGGGCAGCGTGCCGCCCTGGCGGCCCGCGTGAGCCTCCGCCTCGGGTCACTATGTCGCCTTGCGCAAGATCCGTGTCCGTCGCTCACATGGTGAAGCCTCGGGTGCTGCCGCAGTGGGCACGGTCGCACGTGGGCCCCACGCCCGTCTGGGCACTCTCCACGCGCACCGTGCCACGTAGTCCATGTGACACTGGGCCACCCAACTGCGGCCACACGGCCGTACGAGTCGGCGGCGCGCCCAGGGGGGTCGGCAGAGAGGGGGCGGGCCGAGGCCTTTTGACAAGCTTTGTGAGCCTGCTCCGAAGCCACAGGGTTTTCAGAAGGTCCGGGCGCGCCGCCGAACGAAGTCCAACACCAGCTCCTGTCCATTCTGAACTGGATTCGCTGCCTGTGTCGCCACGGACGCGTCCGTCTGGGACACACGTCGCTTTCCGACGGCGGCCGCCGTCTTTGGTGGACGCCGTTCGCTGTTGGGCATCGTGCCAATTTTTGCCAGACCCATTTCGGGCGTTCAGGTGGCGCCACAGGATCGGTCTTCTAAGAATTCGGTGGGCTTCTTCGAGGGGTTTTAAAGGGGCATCTAAGAGCGCTTCTCAGAAGCTTCCCTGGCTGCTAAGAGGTCTCGTGCCTTCTAAATTAGACGCCCCCCCACCTTCTTAGAACACGTCCTTCCTGTTGGCCCGTCGTGCGCACCGCCGAGTCAGATGGGCTCCTACTCGGGAGTCTCGTCGAATTGCCACCATGAAGAACGTACATCCTCCACGGGCCTAAGTTCCTAGAAACCTGCCAGCACAGCATTCGCCGGCCCAACGGGCCAGGGCGTGCTAAGATCTCCGGTAACTGGTTAACAGTATTAACAGTATTTCTAGTTCGCGCGCGCGGGGCGGCCCCTGGGGGTCCCCCGGCGAAAAGTACCCCGACCAACGCCCGGTCGCCGCCCGACCGCCGCCCGACCGCCGCCCGACCAAGTCTACTCAGAGATGGTTTTCCTTCTGGGTGCGGCCTCTCAGGCTCCCCAGAGCGCGCTCAGAGTGCCCCAAGAGGCCCCCAAGACTGCCCAAGAGGCCCCCGAGACGCCCAAAGAGCGCTCGAAGACGCCGAAGATGACCCCAAGACGGCCCAAAAGGCCCCCAAGACAGCCCAAGAGGCCTCCAAGACGCCCCAAGAGCCTTCCAAGAGGCCTCCGAAGAGAGCCCCAAGAGGCCAAAATCGTTGATTTTCATTGGTTTTTTCGATGTTTTTTGTGTTCTGGCTTTTTCGGCTTCCGGACGCTCCAAGACGGCCCAAGAGGCCCCCAAGACCGCTCCAAGACGGCCCACGAAGCTCCCAAGACGGCGCCGAAACGACCCAAGAGAGCCCTCAAGACGGCCCAAGTGCCGCCCAAGACGGACCAAGAGGCCCCAAGACGGGCCCAAGAGGGACTCAGGAGGGATACCGAGAACTCAAAAATGGAGCCCTCCGTCCCAGAAGGCGCCCAGGAGGTCCCAAAGAGGCCCCAAGAGGCCTCCAAGAGGCCCCAAGATGTCGCCAAGAGGCCCCAGGAGACTCCCAGGAGGCCCAAAAGAAGCCCCAGAAGGCTTCAAACATGTCTCCCAGGCGCCCCCGAACGGCCTCTCAACAGACCCCAAGAGGCCCCCCAAAGAAGCATCTTGACGACGACTCTATTTCGCCCCATCGAGAGACGACCCCCAGGGAACTGCTTCACCATCAAAACTCCCCACGCAACGCGTCCGAACGACACCCGCCCCCAAGAGCGCAACATGGGCAACGAACACGCAGACAAAAACCAGCGATGCCATATCACGGGCCGGCGGAATGAGCGAAGCGATTCAATAATTACCTCGTTTCTGGCCTCCCGCAGTCAGACAGCAGGATTTCCCATGCAGGGTTGCCTTTGGGGTGGTGTTGGGCTGTCGAGACAGGATCTTAGGAGGGAAGTTGGCCCGGGACCTGAGAGGAAAACGGAGAGAAAGGTTCCTGGGAGAAGGGGTCCTTGCTCTTGAAGGAAACATGAGGACATGGGCCAGGAGAGAAAGGAACGGATTGCTCTGCGGGCCCCACGCTTGCGGGAGACCCTTTCACCACAAATAGCGTAGATGCTTCACGTGTGTGACGCCCCTGCCGACCTGCATACCTCACCTCCCCTGCCGACTGCAGACAGCAGGGTGATCCGCAATGCATATTATTATGAGGCGGAGGAGGAGGAGCAGGATCGGGAGGAGCAGGAGGAAGATGAGGAAGAGGAGGAGGATGAGGAGGAGGAGGAGGAAGTGGATGATGAGGAGGTGGAGGAGGAGGAGTTGTTGTTGATGATGATGATGCTGATGATGCTGCTGATGATGACGATGCTGATGATGGTGATGATGGTGATGGTGATGATGCTGGTGATGATGATGATGTTGCTGACGATGATGATGCTGATGCTGATGATAATGATGATGATGATGATGATGATGATGATGATGATGATGATGATGATGATGATGATGATGATGATGATGCGGATGCTGATGATGCGGATGATGATGATGATGATGCGGATGATGATGATGCTGATGATGATGATGACGATGATGATGATGCTGATGCTGCTGCTGCTGATGATGATGATGATGCTGATGATGAGGATGATGGTGGTGGTGGTGATGGTGGTGGTGGTGATGATGATGATGATGAGGAGGAGGAGGAGGAGGAGGAGGAGGAGGAGCCGTTGCATGGCATTTGCAGAGAAGTCTTGGCGCCCTTCAGACGGTCGCCCCGGCAACGGGGGGCCGAGGCGCACCCTCCGCCGTGTGCCAGGAGGGAGAGAGGGGGCCCCGGGGGACCAGGGGGGCAGGGTGCAGAGAAGGGTTCGTGGGAGAAAGCGGAGCGCCCCCCCGGCCGCACGGCCGTGCCTCCGTCGGCGGCGAGCCCTGGGGAGAAGTCAAAGGGGGCGGGCCTGCTAAGAGGGCTCGGAGGGCCTCGGGCCTTCCGAGGCGTTGTCTCGGCCTCTCCCGAAGACGCAGGCAACTTCGCAGTGGGCCCCGTGGCCTGAGGGAAGGATGCACCTGACGCACGAAGCCCCCACGATCTGCGAGCGGGCCTGGGACGGGGCCCAGAGCGAGGCTGGCCCGGAGATCAGGGGGCTGGCGTTGCGAGTCGAAGCGTATGTTCGCGATCGTTTAGGGGGAGAAGAGCAGCCTTGGAGAAAGGGGAGCGACCCCCTGGCCTCGCGGCCATGTCTCTGTCGGCGGCGAGCCTTGGGGAGAAGTCAGAAGGGGCGGGCCTTCTTAGAGGGCTCGGAGGGCCCCGGGCCGTCTGAGGCGTTTTCTCGGCCTTCCCCGAAGACGCAGACCATTTCTCAGAAGGCCAGGAGGGTTCTGAGAAGCCCCGCCGCCTTCTGAGAAGGCTTGGCTCACCCCCCCGGGGCGCGCCGCCGTGGTTCGAGCAGATGGGGTCGGACTATCGCGCCGCATCGTCGATATATCGCCGCTGCGGTTTGATGTGGAGCCAGATTTTTCCTACGTCGACGTCGCCGATGCGGCGCGATGCTCCGACCCCATCTATTCGGATCCCATTTGGGAGACCTCTCATGCCAGGATTCGGGAGGCGAGGTCGAGCAGTGCATCGACGAGAGGTGGAGGGGGACGGGGGTGCCCCGTAAAGCTGGCACGAGGGTAAAGAACAATCTGGAGGGGTACAGTGGAAACCCGTGCCAAGAAACACCCTGCTTGCCTCCAGGGTGCCCTGGGTTTTTTGGGTGTTGATGGTTTTGCGATACACAGCGTGACGTTCCCACACCAAACATCGATGGATGTTCTGGGGTTTCAGGGTTGGGTTTCTTGTGGTCGAGCTCCTTTTGTAAAGAGCACTCCTAGCTTTGGATGGGGTACCCCTCTGTTTTTCGTGCCTGGGTGTTCTTGCACTTTGGCGTGGTTCTCGTGTTGGGTATCCCCATGGCGCCTGGGCCCTTCGGCGAGGGTGCCCAGGCTCTTGGCCCACGCTCCTGAAGCTGTGCTGCGACTGGAAGGCTGGCGTACCCTCTCTCCGCGGGACTTCCGAGCTCTGGAAAGGCACGATGGGGCCCAGCAGTCGCCCTCGCTCCCCCTTCTCGGAGGGGTCTCTCTCTCTCTCTCTTTCTCCCGCTCAGTGGTGAGGTGCCCTTCTCCTCGTTCTGCTTCCTCCCCCTTCTCCTCCCCCCGTCTCCTCCCTGGTCTTCTCCTTTCTCTCCTCCGCCACCCCCTCGTCCCTCCCAGCGGCTTCGAGCTCCCTTCGCATTGTTGGCGGGATTGTTGTTACTCCTCCCACTGCTGAGATGGAGTTTCACTAGTTTTGTTTGCTGCTCCAGTCCGCTGCAGGTCGTACAACGTGACCGAACACATAACAAGACACGCGTGCTGTCTGTGCCAGCCGCGTTGTCAACATCGCAGTTGCCGCATGCTTGGTGGCAAGCACAAGCGAAGTGTGATGTTCCATCTTAGTGATCAGATCACCGGCAGTCGCAGTAAATGGTATGTTGCCACATCGTTCCTCATTCCGTGCGTTACCCCAGTATGCGTTTCCCCGTTCAGCTCCGCCCATGGCACGCGGCTTGTGGCGACCCGCATTACGCCGCCTCCTTCGTATTGAAGGGCTTCGGTGGACAGGCACACGCCGGCGTGCAGGATTTATGTCCACGGCGACTGCGTCTCAAATTTCTGGACTCCCTTCCCCCGAGACGCGGTGGACGTGGACGACAACCTGGCCTCTGGCGAGGCCATTCTTTACACATACATGCATTGTGCCTATGGTCCGCTGGAGTCCCTGACCAGCACGTCCAAGACGCTGTGTATATGGATCGGCGGCGAGCGAGGGGGGGAAGTGAGAAGGAAAAGGAGGCGGCGGGACTTCTCAGAAGCCTCTTGGCCTCCTGAGAAGTTCTCTGCGTCCTCGGGGGAAGGCTCAGAAGACTTCTCAGAATGAAGGGGGACGTCTTAGCCTGCTGAGAAGGTCCGCCCCTTCTGACTTCCTCCCCAGGGCTGGCCGCCGAATGGATACAGTGGGGCCCATGCCAAGAAACACCCTGCTTGCCTCCAGGGTGCCCTGGGTGTCGTGGGGTTCGATGGTTTTTCGATGGAAAGCGTGACGTTCCCACACCCAAAATCGATGGACGTTCTGGGGGTCACGGTTGGGTTTCGTGTGGAAGGTGTTTTTGTGGTCGAGCTCCTTTTGTAAAGAACACTCCTAGCTTTGGATGGGGTGCCGCTCTGTTCTTCGTGCCTGGGCTTTTTGCACCTTGGCGTGGTTCTCGTGCTGGGTATCCCCACAGGGGCCTCTACTGTACAGACCTCGCCCGCAATGTGGGGCACCGAGAGCGCGCTCGGAGGATCCCCGTCGAACCGTGGGGGGGGGGGGCGCCCGCCCGCCGCAGGATGCGGCGGCGACGGACACCTACCGGTGGAAGCAGGACCCATCGCTGCGCTCCGAGCTCCTGCGGGGGTGGGGGTGGGGGAGGTCAAGTCCGACCGAGGTAAAGGATCGAGGCCGGTTCGGGGAGGGTGCACCCAGGAGTAGATCGGGTCGGACGATCGCGCCGCATCGCCGATGCATCGCCGCAGCGGCCCGATGTGGAGCCCGAGTTCCTTCCCGCGGACGTCGCCGATGCGTCGCCCACGTCACCGATGCATTGCCAGTGCATCGCCGATGCATCGCCGGTGCATCGCCGATGTATCGGCGATGCGGCGCGATTCCCCGACCCCAGCTGCTCGGACCCCGTCTAGGAGGCCTCTGGAATGTCCTTCGTGCTTGCTGGTATTATTGTGCATCGTGGGGAGGGCACCCTTGGATGTTCTGTGTGTTCTGGCTGGCGGAGGGCCCCATGTTCTCGAAGAGTGTGATTCTGTCTCAAGTCCGCTTGTACCCTCCTTCCGCAGCCCCTGCTCTCGAGGGAGCGCAGACGCGGACTCAGGCGCGCGGATTTGCGAGGGGGGCCCTGATACCGGGCAGAATCGGCGCGCTTCGTCGCCAGGTGAGGCGGGATTGGGTCCTGTTGTTTTGGAGCAACCTTCCCCGATGCATGGGTCTGGCTCCCACGCGTCGGATCCCCACTTCCCTGATCCTTGCCAGCGTTTGCCCGATGATCCTACTCCTGGTTGTGCGCGTGCTTATGTTCCCGCTCCTGCTCCTTCTCCCACTGGTCCTGCTCCCCCTGCTCCTGCTCCTCTCCTGTTCCTGCTCCTGCTTCTGCTTCTGCTTCTCCTGCTCGTGCTCCTCCTGCCCGTGCTCCTGCTGCTGCTTTTGCTCCTCGTGCTCCTGCTGCTCCTGCTCCGCTGGGCGCTGCCCTCGCCGCTCCAGTTGCCAGGGTGGCGCTTGGGGGGAGTGGGGCATCCTCCCGGAGCGGACGAGAGTGGGTGGGCCGACAGGGACGTCGGACGAACGGGGCTCCGGGCTCGAGGTGTTCGGGCGTCTCCGTCGGTTCGCGGCGGTGTTCCAGCCTCGGGAAGCTTTCCAGCAGCTGCGCCTCGCCGCGAGCCCTCCGGGGGTGCCCGAAGCGTCGTGGCCAGATGACGTGGATCACCTGGATCGGACGAACGGAGAGCATTCGGACAGGGCAGTTGCGATCGCCGGTCTGTGCCTCCTGGTAGCCTCCTGGGCCCCTGGGTCCGTCAAACGAACATCCGGGATGAGAAGCCGATCCCAGGGAAAGCCCGGGCCGAGGGTCCAGCACCCTTCAGGACCCCATGCCAACACCAGTCACCTGTAGGTGCCCCTATGCCTCCCTGATAGCAGGGCCTCGCGATTGCAGAGGCAAGACCGTCCTCCTCATCCTCATCCTCCTTGCAATCCTCCTCACCCCATTCGTCATCGTCCCTGTCGTCCCCATTATCGTACCCTTGCTGCTCTTGCTCCCTCTGTTTTGCTCCATCCTCCGTCTCCTCATGCGGCCGCGCAAGGACACCGACGAGGTCGAGGTGTCAGTCAGCGTTCCACTCACCGCGCTCGACTCAGAGGGGCCTCGTAGCTCGAGTTGGGCGAGGGCATAAGGAGGAGGAGGAGGAGGACACAGAAGGGCAGTGGCAAGGGAAGCAGTACGGTGATCAGAAACATGCTCACGAGGAGACGGTCTCGGGGATGATGCTGATGACGATGACGATGACGATGATGATGATGGTCGTGGTGGTGGTGGTAATCATGATGATGATGATGACGACGACGACGATGATGATGATGATGATGATGATTATGATGATATTGATTGATGGATTGCTTGATGAGGATGGTGATGTTTTTGATGCTAACGATGTTGATGATGATGGTGTTGATGATGATGAGGATGCTGATAATCATGATCGTGATGATGGTGGTGATGATGATGATTCCGATTATGCTGATTGATCATGGTGGTGATAACGATGTCGGTGGTGATGCTTATGCTGATGCTGATGCTATTCATGCTGCTGCTGTTGCTGCTGCCAACGATGATTGGCGATGACGATTGTAATGATAGTGGTGATGATGATGGTGATGCTGATGATGATGAGGGTGATGATGGTGATGATGATCATGCTGATGATGATGATGATGATGATGATGATGATGATGATGATGATGATGATGATGATGCCGATGCTGATGATATTGGTGATGCTGCTGATGATAGTTGCGATGATGATTATGATGATGCAGACGATTATGGGGCTGTGGCGAAGATGGTGATGATAGCCATGGTGAGGATATCGATGGCTCGGGCGATGACGAAGACGAAACACATGACGATGACGATGATGATGCTAATGATGATGCGAATGGTGTTGCCTCTGGGTGATAGTGATGGTGACGACGATGATGCATCTTGTGAATGTGGTATTGAGCTTGATGTGTGGACGGACGATGGACGGGATAATGCTTATGTTGAGATGAGGATGATTTTGATGGCAAAGATGATGCCACTGATGCTTGTGATGATGACGAAGGTGATGTTGACGATGCTGATACTGATGATACTGGTGAGGCTTCTGATGACGATGGTCGCGATGCTGATTTTGGCGATGATGACGATTTTTCGAATGTGATGGTGATGGTGGTGAGGGCGATGCTGATGACTATGATGATGCTGAAGATGATGATGATGATGCTGATGATGATGATGACGCTTATGATGGTGATGCTGATGCTGATGGTGATGCTGACGATACTGATGATGACTTTGATGATGACGGTCGAGCTGGTGATGATGTTCCTGATGATGACGATGTTGCCGATTTGGATTAGCATGGTGGTGGTTATGATGATGACGACGACGATTATGACGACTCGCATGATGATGACGCCGCTTTGTACTTTGAAGATGATGTCAATGATGATGATGACGATGATGATGATCATGATGTTGATGGCAATGCTAATAATGATGATGATGATGATGATGATGATGATGATGATGATGATGATGATGATGATGATGATGATGATTATGGCGATGATGATGCTGATCCTGCTGATGATGCGATGATGGTGACGCTGATGATTATGATGATGGGGATGATGATGGTGATGCTGTTGTTGGTGATGCTGCTGACGATGCTAAAGATATTGGCATCCTGGATCAACACATACACATCTCCACCGCGGGCTGGTTTTCTGTCATGGGGGTTGATTGGATTATTGTTTCGACGGTGGGTTGCTTGGTGCGCCAAATCTCGCGATAGTGATCTGTCGCGTGTGCAGCGTCATTTTGGCACGCGGCTGCACGCTCAAAAAACAACACATTCACGTGTTGTATAGTTCGGGGTGGTGTATAACGTCCCCTTTGTGGGCCCATCGTTTTTATACACCGCCACCGTGTTGCCATAGGGCGCTTGGGAACAATTATTTATTCGCGATCGCGCCATGTGTGCGCATGACCACGTGGTAAGTACTTGCTCTTGGCGGGGCAGGCAGTGACACCCTTGCCGGGGCGGTCGCGCGCAGGATGTGTCCTTTCCTATGGCTGCCTGGTGGTGGCGCATATTTGGGGGTCCCGCAGATGATGATACTGATGCTGATTACGGTGCTGCGGATTACGACGGTGATGGTAATGATATTGCTGATGAGGATAGTGATTATGATGTATGATCGCGATTGTGGTGACGATGCTGATTCGTGCGATGGTGGTGTCTTTACTGACGACGACGATGGTCTCGATAATGATGATGCGTGTTGTAACACTGACAGCGATGATGCTGCTGATGATGATGGTCATGGTGATGGTGATGGGGTGATACGAGTGATTATGGTGGTGATGGCGACGAGGATCATGATGCTGCTGATGTTGATGGCAATGATGGTGGCACCGATGAGGATGGTGATGATGATGACGGCGATGATGCTGATGCTGCTGATGATGTGTATTGTGCTGGTGGTGACGCTGCTATCGGTGACGTGGATGATGGTTCTTGCGATGATGCTGAGTGTGTTGGTCCTGGCGGTATTGGTGGAGATGGTGATGACGAAGATGGGCATTTATTATGGTGGTGGTGATATACGGAGGCTGAGGTTGAGGATGATGGTGATGATGGTGATCGTGATGATGATGGAGATGAAAACGGTGATGAAGATATTGGTGACCATGATGATGATGATGATGATGATGATGATGATGATGATGATGATGATGATGATGATGATGATGATGATGATGATGATGATGCTGTTGATGACGGTGGTGATGATGGTGATCGTGATTGCTTTGCTGGTGCTGATGGTGGTGGTGGTGGTGGTGGTGGTGTGGCTGCTGCTGATGATGCTGATGCGGATTGCGATGGGAAGAAGAGGGCTCGTCGACATTGTACGTGCCTGGGTGCTTGTTGTTCAAGTATTCCTGCGCCTGCGATTTGCGCTGGCTCCTTGTCTCAGTCCAGCTCCTCCCGCGTCTCGCCTCGCTGCTGCTGCTGTTGTCCCTGACCCTGCATTCTGCTCCTGCTGCTAGTCTGGACTCGTCTTATGTTTTCCTCCCCCTTCTCCTCCTCGCGATTCGCGGCTCGGAACCGCCGCGAGCGCAGACATGTGGTTGTAGCGTGACTCGCCTGCGCATCACGTGTGTAAGGCCACGGCTCTCACTCCCTGGCCTGATGGGCACAATCGGGATCCAGGGGAGCGCGCACGACTCTGGCGGTCGTGTCGCTTCGCTTCCTCACAACCCGCGGCTCTCGGACCGAGGCGGTCAAGGGCGAGGTGAAAGTCGTCATTCAGCCCCGCTGTCTGAGATTGCTGCACAGGCGACGCGCGCAACGACCTTTTATTGAAAGCGTGCGAGATCGGTGAGCATGAGAAGAGGGATGAAACGGAGCAGGAGTCCGAGGAGGAGGAGGGGGAGGAGGAGAAGGAGGAGGAGGAGGAGGAGGGAGAGGAGGAGGAGGAGGAGTTGGAGGAGAAGGTGGAGGAGGGTGATGAGTAGGAGGGGGGAGGGAGCGGGGGGGGGGTCCAGCCCCATCCAGGGACAAGGCCCTGGTCGAGGGTCAGCTCTGCTCGCACTGCAACCCGGAGGGTTCCACCTGGACGCTGGGAAGAGGGCAGGTCACCGTTTCCTTGGAAAAGAAGGACCGATCGTCGTTGTCTGGCGTCGTCGTGGTCTGTCGGCGTCATGGTCGTTGTCCGTCGTCGTCTGTCATCGTCTGTCGTCGTCGTCGTCCGTCGTCCGTCCGTCGTCTGTCGTCCATCGTCCGTCGTCCGTGCGTCCGTCCGTCCGTCCGTCCGTCCGTCCATCCGTCGTCGTTGTCACCGTCGTCGTCGTCATCTTCGTCGTCGTCTTCGTCGTCGTTTTCGTCTGTCGTCGTCATCGTTGTCGACGTCGTCGTTGTCGTCGTCGCCTGTCGTCGGCTTCGAAGGGCATCCACCTACTTCTTCCCCCCGCCCTTCTCGCCCCCCCCCCCTCGGGGGCTGAGAGGGAAACTGGGGCGGCAGGAGCAGAAGGAAGAGGAGCAGGAAGAGGAGGAGGAGGTGCACGCGGAGGAGTGCGAGGAGAAGGGAGAGGACGAGGATGAGGACTGACGTTGCGACACCAGTCGATCTGACTTTGCCCAACGTGCAGTACAAATGAGCCTGAGGAGCGGATTTGATCCGGGCAGCCCCGAGGGGGTAGTCTCGCGGGACAAACTCGTCGTGGGGGGTGTGCGGAGCCCCGCCAGTGGCCTACGACAGGGCGCCGCTCAATCATAGTCTGTGTTCGCAGGCGAGCCTAGATCATCCTACCTCCGTCCCCTGGCTTTGACTCGTTTCGCAGTTTCGTTGTAAGTCAAGATATCGAAATATAATCGGAGCGAGGTGTAAGATCGAGGTCGGTTCAGGGAGGGTACCCTACTGTTCTTCGTTTTTGCTGGATGTTCTTGTGCACCCTGGGGAGGGTATCCTTGGATGTTCTGTGTGTTTTGGCCGGCGGAGGGTCTCGTGTTCTTGATGGATATTCTTTTGCCCTAGGTTCGATTGTGAGGACGATTTCGGTGTCAGAAGGCGCTGTGGCTTCCGGTCCGTTCCTTTAGTTTGGTTGGGGATTTGTTTGTAACCGAGGCTCGCCGTGGCCAGAATAATACGTTCGTTATGGTCGCTTGATGACTGTATGGGCGCGACGAGGGCAAAGGCCCAATTGTGGGAGCTATAGTATCGCACCCATGGCTTTATGAAGATCTCTAGCCAAGGAAGGCGACGCGGCAGGGTGGGAACACGCTGGTCTCATGCAGTGTTCACAGGCTTTTTGTGACCACCAGTGTTTCCGAGCGCATCTTGCAGTACATGCTGACAGCTAATTCTTGACGCTTCGCGTATCCCCGCCAGCGTATACCGACTATAGGGAGACCACCCGGTCGGAAGCATCCAGCTCTGGAGCCCCATGGCACCCAAGGCCGTCCTGGGAAGGGTGGGACCGCCAGGAAAGTTCATGGAGGGGCGCTGACTGGGGTACCAGGGAAAAAAGGACCGCCCCAAAAGGTGACGCGCAATACGCCGACAAGCGACAGCGAGGAAGGGAGCTCGAACGCTGGTAAGGCGGCGACATGTCTGACAAGAGTTCCCTACGCACAGCAGGATTGACACAGCCCAGAGCCCCCAAGGCGCACGGCCTAGGGATGTCTGGACAAGGGGCGCTCCCTTCATGAAAGGCTGGCCGCACCCGTACACAGCGGATACCCCCCAGAGGTGTGGCGCGTCCTCCTCCGTTGGCGTCACCACTACTGTCAAACGTCCTGCGGCTATCGGCTGCCCTCCTCCCCCTCCTGTTGCTTACAAGTCCTGCGGCTATCGGCCGCTACCCCCGTTTCCTCGTCGCCAGAACTGTACAAGTCCGCGGCTATCGGCCGCTAACCCCCATTTCCTCGTCGCCACAGCGCAGTGCTTGAGAGGCGCGGCTATCACGGGTCCCGCCTCAGTCGGGGTTGGCCCCGGTGCCGAAGGTTCCCACTGGGCGGCCACGTTCCTGACGGCCCACCCAGTGATGGGGTTCGTTTCGCCGCAGTGGCAGGCCGCGGCCTCGGTTCCCGTGTTACCTCCTGGGAGTGAGGTACACCCCCCACGCTGCGCTAGACACCCACGGCCCCCGTGGGCTCGTAGCCCGTGCGGTCGGCTGGAATAATCCCGCCCACGGTTTTGGTCGGGTTACCGGCCCGAGGAGGACCTGGTCGTCTCGCTGAAGGCGTTTCCCCATCTGTCCTGCTTCCACCTAGGTTCTTTGCCCGCGCTGAGTGCGGGCCGTGGTGCCGAGGACGCTGGTCCGGCCCCCCCTCGTGCTCCACCACATGAAGTTCAGCTTTGTGCAAGTGGTTTCCCCCCCTCGTCGCCGTTGGGGGTGATCATCACTGAATGAGACCCCCACTGCCTCGTGGATTGTAGCCCGTGCGGTCGGCTGAGATAACCCCACCCACGGTTTTGGCCGCGTTACCGGCCCGCGGAGGTCCGGGTCGTTTGGCTGAAGGCGTCGCCCCATTGGTCCCTGCATACAGTGGATGGCTCTGGCCACGCATTGTGTCACCTTCTGGGTTCGAGAGGCACTACACTTCGCTTTGGTACCCGCGGCGTCCCGTGGGTTCCTGCGCCTGCGGTCGGCTGAAATAACCCCACCTAGGCCTTGCCCGTGTGAGTCTGGGCCGTGGTGATGAGGCAACTGGCTGAAGGCCTCTACTCGCTTCACCGTTGAAGTCTTGCTGTGTACTAAGTGACCTCCCCCCATCGTCGTTGTTGGGAGTGATCGTATCTCTCGGCGGTGGACATGCACTGGGTGCTACGTGAGTGAGTACGCCGCTCTAGGCCTTCTGTGTTCCGCGGATGCCTGGGTACAGGCTCTGCGTTCGTTTTCGCCTGTTTGCGAGTGCGGTACCTTCTGGTGCCCTGGCTCACTGGCATCTGCCCAGTGGTCCTTGCTCGCGCCTCGGCTCAGGCTGCGGTCTGCTTTGCTTCGCGCGCGCCACTTGGCGCTCTGCTCTCTCTCTCTATTTCGGCCACCGGTCCAGCTCCCCACCTGCGGGTCTGGCTTGTGTTCGTTGGTTGTCCACCTGTGGCAGCTTCTCTTCCGCTGGCATCCGTTCAGTGTTTTTGCAAGGTAATATTCTGGCATCGTCTTTTGCCGCGCATTCGCTACAGCGGCCTACGTGCCACTGCAGCCAATTATCTCGCTCTGTGCCCCAGAACGTCAGTCCCGCTCGCTGGATCTGTCCTTCGAGCCGCCGAACAAAAAAAGTATCCCCGCCAGCCTTGCGCGTCGCCTCTGCTTAAGTAGTCTCTGCGTAGCCCGCTTGGACCTGACTCGCCGCTGGCACGCTCGCCCGCGGCCGTTGACAAAAAAATATCCCCGCCAGCGGCGTCCGCCTGCTGCATGGTCTGCTTGTTCGACAAGGTGCTTGGGGTGGATGGGCCCTTCTTCTGGCCTTCATTGTGCTGCTGGCCTATACACCCCGCGCTCTGGGGAGTGCTACACGCCGGCCACTTCTTCGTTCACGTGCCGTTCTACCTCCCCCGCGCCATTTTGGTTGCGTGGTGTTCCCACATGCTTGACGTGCTCGTGGTGGGCACGGTCTCCCCGTCAAGTTCTACCTGTACGGCACGCTTGGCGCCCCTGTTCCGCCTTCACCCTGCGTGTCCTTCGAGGCAAGGTTTCGTGGCCGCCGGGGTACGGATCGGCCTGCTCGGCTCCTGGAGGCACGGTCGCGCTCTGCCGCTACTGGCGCTCGCTCCTCTTCGCGCCCACGACGCGGTCCTGGTGCCGTTCCTTCGCCCCCGCCTTTCGGCCGCCTTCGCGTCCCGCACGTCCCAGCGCGTTCGTTGCACCGCTTTTTCCTGCGCAGGTGGCATAGCCTGCCCCTGCTCGCCCGGCGTCCGACTTGATTTGTGCGCCTGCGTGCCCAAAAGTATCCCCGCCAGCCGGGACTTTCCTGGTGGACTCCCGGCTGCCCCTGTGGAATCCCGGGTGCGCTAGGATGTCCCTTGTGGACTCCTGGCTGCCCTTGGCCATTTGAGTACCGTGTCGCTGGCACGGGCCCCACGCAGGGACACAGGCGCGAGTCTGGAGCCTTGCGCGCGCGGGCTAAGGACTGCATTGATTCCGAATGTTGCGTGCGCGAAACAATTCCACAAGTACAGACCCGACATGCCTGCGATGATTTCCCGGACGCCTTGCGCCGCTGCGATAACGATGATTACCAGCTCGACCGCCACCTTGGGTTCAATGCTACTTTTGGGCGTACACGACAGGAGCACATTACGAACGACTGGGGCAATGTTGGGCGATCATGCAAGGGACGACCAAGACGCCCTTGACGCACGCAGCGGCAAACAGTGCAATCGCAGCCACGGCTGAGATGGGTCCCCTCTCAGAGAAGGCATCGTCAGTAGGCCCCCCTATTGCATGTTCAAGTACACCACCCAACACCTCCCACCACGCGCCCCTTCGGGTCGCGCCTGGCTGCGGCTGCTCCTTGTCCAGTTCGCCTCGCGCCTCTCGTTCGCCTCCCGTCCTTCCTGGGGTATTCCTTTCTTGCCCTCGCGGAAATCAGCTGCCGCCAATTCATGCCCTCCACCACCCATCCGTCTTCTCCGCCTGGGGTTCACCTGCGCCTGCTTCCTCGATGCCCGCTCCCGCTGACTGGGGCAGCGCATCGCCTGGGGTTCGTCATCAACGATGTTGGAATCAACCCTCCAAGCTCCCTTTTCCGCAGGGCCCTACACATTCATTTCCACAAGAGGAACAGCCTCGTTGGAAAACAACCGTTTGAAAACCCTGAATCCTGCAGACAGATTGTCTCGGGATTCGAACTTCACGTATCAACCTGAGCCTTGCATCTTGACCATCTGGACTCGTGCCAGAACACTTTCTCCTGGATTTCAACACCGCGAATCAATGCGACTACTGCGCCTCACCATCCCGAATCCTTCCAAGACATCATTTTTGGCACGCTGATCATGGGAATCACTGAAATTCGTACCCGTAGTAAAAAAAAATATTACGCGGCGCTAAGGCGAGAACCACAGTTTGAAAAGGAACCGCCCTCACTCCGTGAAACTTTTGCTGGCATGTTTTGCAACGACTGTGCGCGGCGCCGATGCGAAAACCACATTTTGAAA